CCCTTCTTCCTCTAAGTTGTGTATGTTAGGTATTTTGTGCCAGCAGTGGAAAGGTGACTAATACATGCTGGTGCAGGGGGTCTTGGATAGCTAGCAAATGTGAACCATGCTGACCCCCACAAGCAACCATAGGGCTATGTTTTCAGAGTTATACTGATCTGCCTTATAACTCACACCCCTCTCAGATCTCCTCCAGGCTGCTTAGCAATGAGAATCTCTCATTACAGATGCCTATGCACCAACAGGAACTCTCACATCTATCTTTAGGTTCTGAAATTGGTTGAATGAGAATGCCATAATCAATTAACACACCTGATTTCACTTAAAAGGACATGTGGCTAGATGGTTAGGAAAGACAGAGATTTGGGTTCAGGAAATGGATTGTGGGTATGGGGAATACAGAGAATGTAATTTGAAGCAAATCTGAAAAGAGAATAGCTCCTCACCGTTCTTGTATGTGAGTGGAATGAGAGATGGGAGAGACTGTCACCTCAGTTGACACAGTATTGTTTGTGTTCAGACATATATGGATAAGACAGCATTTCCCAAAATGTGTTCTTTAAAGAAATGACATTAAAATTACATTGAAAGTGATTTTTTAAAAAATTTTGTTTTGTGGCACTGGAGATGAAATCCAGTGGCTCCTTAATCATGCTAGGTAAGCACTCTATCACTAAGCTTCATTCCCATTTCCAAACTTGACACACTTGATATCAGAGGGTTCTGGTGGCCAAATCATACACTAGTATGTACACTAATAATACATTACTACCTAACCCACTTTTAAAGTTCCACAATGCATATTAACATATGTATGACTCTGAGAAGTCTCACAGCAAAATGCTATGATGGATTGTTTAGCTGGTTTCTAAAACGTACTTAACCCTAAGTCCCATTATTGAGCTGATCGATCAGTTCCTGCGGCCACTCTTGTGACAGGTGAGGTGCTGGAGCGGCAGAGTTGCCCTGGAGGCTGAGTTGACTTTGCTGGGTGAACTGATGAGTTCAGGAGCATGGCCTGTGAGTGTAGGAACAGACTGAAAACACACCATTGCTTTCCAGGTACAGGGCTGAATTTAATAAAATGTGATGAAAGACAATTTTCTCAAGAACAGTGCTCCAGCCTCCCTGTATAAGTAAAAAGAAAAAGCTATAGGCTTTTGGGTATTTTTTGAGTAATGAAAATACTGTTACTCTGTGAAAGAAACTACTTTAAAAATTATACTTAATACTTGTATAATGATCATTTATTCATTCATTCATCACTTAATATGCATTGTGACTATGGACTACTGTGTATTCTGTAGAAATACTTAGAAAAATATTGAAAACAGAAGTTTTTGGAAGACAGTTAATCCAGTTCTTCCAAATCAGAGTGGAATAAGCAAGTGTAATTTGAGTATTTCAGCTGGCACTAAATTCTTACCAGAATCATCCTTAGCATCTAAAGGCTGACACCTTAGGTCAGCCTAGGATCTAAAAAGTCTAGAGAATTCAACCCAACCTACCACTCTTGGAAGACCCTTGCACCTGGTCCTTATGCCCTCTTTTCTCTCCATCTGTCAAAACTCTACTGCTCCATTTCTCAGCCTCCCTGCTGTACCTTTACTTGAATTGGACAATGCCCATGGGAAAGGAAAGCCCAGATTGAAGATAAGATTTGGCTAAGATTTCCTAGAAGATTTTGGCTCCATATTTCTTTTGTTATATGGTTTCTCACAGATATTTTGGCAGGTGGATTGTGTGTCATTGCTTGGCACTTCTCGAAACATAAACAACAGCCTTTGACATGTGACTTGTGATTGAGGACAGGAGAAGAACTTTCTTTTTTTTGGTACTGGGGATTGAACTAGGGACTTTGTGCTTGTGAGGCAGGCAGCGGAACCACTGAGCTAAAGCCCCGGCCCTGGGAGAAGAATCCCTGGCCCTGGGACAAGAACTTTCTACAAAAGTGATGCAGCCACAAGAGATTCTTAGAATATGCATTTAAGTTTTCATTCAGTCAGTCATATACATATTCAAACAATAGTTACTGAATTCCACTTTACGGTATATTTTAAATTTGTGAGTACTCAAAGGACTATTTGCAATGACATTTAACCTAAGATTTTAAGACTAAGTCAAATTCAGCCAGGTGCAGACTAAGGGAATGCATTGTCTAGTAGAAGGGAAGGAACGTGAAAATGCTGAAATGGGAAAGTTCAACACTCCAAAGCCAAGAGATAAGTCTTCGTAGCCAGTGCTGGTCTTGTTATCTTGAGGAAGCATCTTTTTCAGACTCAATGTGTACTCCTTGGTTCTGCACAAACAGCATTTATCAGGTGCCATATGTGTTTGTTATATGGTAGCTGGCCAGCCCCACTGCTTTTTTTGTCCTTTGAGGGATCAGACTCTTTTTTACTATAGCACAAGAGACGCGTGTGGATACCAATGACCTGCTTCAATTGCTGAGAGGAACCTGCTGGATGTGGGGAGGGGGGGTGATGCCCACTTTTGGAGCTAACCTTGCTTTCTCTTCCCCATGTGGGTAAATTACTGCTCCAACAAGTGTTCATCATCATAGTTTTCCTTGGGGACTCCGATACCAAGATGCAGAGGACAGACAAACTGAGACTTGGTGATAGACCACAGATGTCATTTACCAAATATTGTGTTTTTTTACTTATATTGAGCTATCACTTAAACACAGTAAGTGCACAAATCTTAACGTCAATCAGTTCAACAGATATATTCACCTATGTAACCAACATTCAATCAAGAATATTTTCAAAATCTCAAAAGGCTGTGTAGTACTACTCAGTCATTAATGCCCTAAAGGTAACCTCTATTCTGGCTTATCACATCATCAATTGGTTTGAATTTCATTTCACTGAAATCACGTGATATATATACCTTTTTGTATCTGGGTTCTTTCACTCAAGTTTGGGTCTGTGAGATTTACTCATATTGTTGGGTGTTACAAATTTGTTCTTCACATTGCTTGAGAGCAATCTATTGCTCAAAACACCTAGTTTGCTTTACTCATTCTAGCTGTCCTGTGGGGGTTTTCCTGGGCTAGCACACTACACACACAGTATAGAGCTCTCTCTACGAAGGACAAATTGACTTCACATTGAATCATGTATTTATAGAGTGGTGTGAGAATGTAGTAAACACTAGCTTCTCAAAGAAACAATAAATATGTCAGTGATTTCTTTGCTCAAGAGCAACAATAGTGGATGTGCAAACTGAGGGCCAAAGGTCTAAATACCAAGTTAGTAAAACAGAAATCAATGGAGCAGTAAGACTCATCTAGATGTCTTATCCGGTATAATTCATTTGACTTTAGTAGACAGTATGAAATGGTTTTCAACAGTAGTCCACATTTGCACACTCCATGTTTGAATGTAACAGTTACTTCACATCCTGTGGCTACTTGGTAATATCAGTCCTTTAAATTCTGATTTTAATTTGTATTTCGCCAGTGATTAATGAGGTAAGTTTCTTTTTTTTTTTGGTGCCGGGGATTGAACTCGGGTACTTGCGCTTGCAAGGCAGGTGGCAGAACCACTGAGCTAAATCCCCAGCCCCTAGTTTCCTTTACATATGCTTAATTCCAAATTAAAATAACTTTATTCTTTGACCAGTTCAGAGTGACAGCAAAACTGAGTGGAAAGCAGAGTTGCCATACACCTCCTGCCCCTACCTATGCATAGCCACCCCACTGTCAACTCCCCCCACGAGATGGTAATTGGTCACAATTGACAAACCTACACTGCCACTTCATTATCATTCAGAACTCACAATTTTTACAAGGGTTCATTCTTAGTATTCTATAGATGTTGTATGACATGTATCCATCATTGTATCATACAATGTAGCTTCATTGGCCTAAGATACTGTGTCCCATCTATTAATACCTCCTTTCCCCTCAAGCCTTAGAAATTACTTTGTCTTCTTAATGTTTGTTTTTCAGCATTGCTACGTCAGTTTGAATTATACAGTATACAGCACTTTTTTGGGCTCCTTTCACTTAATGAATACATCTTAGGATCTTCTATTTTTTTTTTTTTGGCACCGGGGATCAAACTCGGGACCTTGTGCTTGCAAGGCAGGCGCCGGAACCACTGAGCTAAATCCCCGGCCCACTTCTATGTTTTTTTGTGGCTGATAGCTCATTTCTTTTAGCACTGAGTAATAAGCCATTGTCTGTACCAGTTTATTTATTCACCTTTTAGAATATGAGATTCCTGTGCTGAAAATTTAATTTTGGGGACCTAAAACATGTATATACAGTAAGTATAAGATATATGAAAACTGTAAAGGAGAAATTTGTCAGGATATTTAAATGCACAAGTTCACTTTGTAAAATGCATGAGAAGTGCATGTTAAAAGGCTAAAAAAGTTGAAGGGTTAAGAGGTGTATTGAGGGCTGGGTATTTAGCTCAGTGGCACCGTGCCTCCCTTGCAAGCATAAGGTCCTGAGTTCGATCCCTAGTACCAGGAAAAAAAAAAAAGAGGTGTATTTGAAAAAAAGACCAAAACGAGCAAAGGAAAACCATTTATCAGGCAAGGGACCCAGGTCAGAGGTCTGTCATTTCATAAGGGACCTGCCAACATGGTAAGGGTCCAAAAGACTCGGGACTGAGCAGTTACAACTTTCACCTGAGAACTCTCTGGGTCCCGCTAATGTGGGTCCCACTAATGGGACCAATGAAGCTGAGCTTTAGAAAGCCACTGTGCATGGCCCCATTCCCTAGCATTGAGTATGAAGACAATTTCCCTTCTTTCTTCCCTTGTTATGTGAGTTACAGGTATGGGGAAACAATGAACAATTTTATAGGCCACCTATGCTTTGTCCATAAAGGAGCTCGCAATGGTTTGACCAGAATCAAATATCTGTTACAGAGACTAAGAATTTTAAACAGTTTTAAGAAAAAAAAAGTAGAAGTCTCAATTAGCTTTCAAATTCAAAACAAATTTATCTAAGTTCTTGCCATTAGGATCAGAAAAAGCTATAATTCAGGAGAGAGACATCCTTTATTAGAAAGGGAAGGGGCTCTAAGGAGTTTATCAGGTCATAAAACATTTACAGTCACAGGTTTTACATTCTAGTAATATTAGTAACAGTAATATCCAACACTTGCTAGTACTTTCAAAATGCTAGGTAGCCGTCTAAGGTTCCACTGTCCCAATTTAGCAGCTACGAGCTATGTGAAGCTATTCAGTATTTAATTATGTGTGGTCATCAAAACTTCCTAGAGGGCTGGGGATGTAGTTCAGTGGCACAGTGCCTGCCTGACAAGTGCAAGGCCCTGAGTTCAATTCCCAATACCAAAAAACAAAACAAAACAAAACAAAACAAAAAACTTCCCAGAATGTAAAACTGAAGAGCTAGAACTATTAAAAATGCATTTGAAGTTATATGACTTCATGTTTGATACCAGAAGCAAATTAACCTATTTTTGTATTAAAATTTTAAGAAACGAGCTAACAGCATTAAAATCTAATGTTTTTATTTTACAATAAATATTAAAATACTTGCTACACAGTCTTCTCTGAAATTATAAATTAACTGTCTAGAGTTAACAAGAAGTGAATTTATAAACCATTTAGCTTTGTAAGAAATGTTTTTTCATTATTATTCTACAGCATTTAAAAGTAATAAAACTTTTAAGATTTCAAATCTGAGAAATCTATGGCAAGTTTTAAAAAGTGCATTAGGGTACAATTTTAAATTTATACATGTATCACAACCAAAATTTATTCAACATGAACATGAGTCCTTCATTATTACCTCCCAATGTAAGTCCTGAGTTTCCAGTAGTTCTCAACTATTGGTGACTATGTCCTTAGGGAACATGTGCTGTTTATTTGCTATCCGATGTAATTCTAGTTGTCATGGCAGAAGGGTGCTAAATGCATTTAGTGTAGAGTCTAGAGATGCTGCTACTCATCCTAAATGCACCCACAACAAAGAATGATATACATCAAATGCTGATACTCCTAACAGCTGACTTTTATAAAGTGGGACCTAATTCCTATTTTATGACTATTCTCTCTGTCCAGTGTAATCATGAAAACAGATTTTGCTAACTGGAAAATTCTATTTAAAAGATTCAATCTAATCAACATCATTACCAAAAGAGTTGACTTTAAGTATCAAAATAATAACTTCCAGAATGATTAAACCACAAAATCAACTTAGAATGATAGAAATTAGAATTACAGTTGGCTTATCTGTGGGTACAAGGATCCAACCAACTGTGGATTGAAAATAATTTGAAAAAAGCAAAGCCATCTGCACCGAATATGTACAGGCTTGTCATGATTTTTTTAAAGAATACAGTATAAGAGTTCCATAGCATGTACATAGTATTAGTTATTATTAGTAAGACGATTTAAAGTATAGGGAAAGATGTACATAGGTTATATGCAAATATTACACCATTTTACTACATATAAGGAACTTTAGTATCTGCAAATTTTAGTATGAAAGCAGTCCTAAACCAATCCTGCATGATTACTGAGAGATGACTCTTAAATCACTTAATGTCCCTTAAAGCTCCTCTGCTAGTTTAATATATTAGGGCTGTTTTAAGTTTTATTTGCTTTTTCACTTACAACCTCTTATAAACAAATAGTGCACATATGTGGGATATATAATATAAAATTATAAGCCAGTTATTTTTCCACGCAAATTATGGCTGTAAAGTATCCATGTATGATGACAAAGCTTTCCTAAGAGGGCGCTCAACAAAAAAATTCTAATTCATTAGATAAGGACATTATTATTTATTTATGCATTCACATTCTATGTATTTTCTCATGGTCAATAAACTGACTCAAATGATTTAAGTTATCCCACCATTTAAAGAGAAAAGTCTCTACAATAATTTTAAACCATGGAGTTAGCTTAACATCGCCTCTGGCTGCTTTTCTCATAAGTTCTCTTAGTTCTTCCTTTGACACATAACAATAGCTTTTAATCTCGTTGGGATCTGGATTCAAAGTTACATTCTTCCTCACAAACAAAATGTAATCGATTTCATTTTCACCCCAGATACTGTCAGACTGTGCCTTGTAGTGAATTCGTGTTATATAATCAATTTCTGCTGGTGAAACCTAGGATATTAAAAAAAAATTTTTTTTGACTAAAACATCAACAAAAATTTATCTAAAATTCACATTTCAGCAGTATCTTGAAGAGTAGCAGTGTAGTTTTAGAATAAGAACTTTTATTAAAGTATTTATCTTTTCAAGATATATAGAAAAACTATTACATTATTTCAAGGATCTAAATTTTTTTTCCATAGGACCAAATATGTAAATTGATTTTTAAAAATATTTTTTAAAATAGTACTCATTGGGCCGGGGATTCAGCTCAGTGGTTTCGCCACCTGCCTTGCAAGTGCAAGGGCGAGTTCGATCCCAGGTACCAAAAAAAACCAACCAAACAAAAAAATAGTACGCATTCATTCATACTTTTAAATGTAACATTTATATTTTAAAATTAGTTCTTGGCGAAAAAAATTTATCATTTTAACTAGATGAGAGATACTTTAGTAATCCAGATTTTATTTAAACAAAATAGTGTGTGGGGGGGTTATTTCAGTTCACTCAAATTCATATATTTCCATAAGAACATGGTCATCTTTGATACAATCAATTATAAAAAATTATAGAAACAGTCCATGTTACAGACTAGTTAACAGATCAATCTATCTCACTATTGAGCAAAGTTCTGATAAGTGATTTTAAAATTTTTATTGAGCTAAGGGTGTTGCTCAGAGGTAAGGCATTTGAGTATAATACGTACATGAGCCCCTAGCTTTGATACCCAATATCAGCAAAACACACACACACACACAAACACACACACACGCATATATTTGTTTATATTTCAACTTGTATTGTTGTCCAATAAAACTAGTTACCTCTTCTAAGGGAATTCCTAATTCAGCTTTTAAACGCCTCTGTGCTGCTCTTCTCACACCAATGGCCTCATTTTCTTCAAGCTCACCTGGATTATTCAATGGATGACTACAACAAGTGTTGGTAAAACAACCTGGAAATTGTTATTACAGATATGGATTAACTTTTTTTCAAAGTAAGTCTGAATGATCAAGGAAAAGTTTTAAAAGTAACAAGTAAAATGATGCTTTAGGATTTTTAAATCAGTTATAATGTGCTATCAGAAATTATTCTGTGACAAAAATTTGTGGATTCTTTTTAATGTCTTCTTAACCAAAAACAAATCTGTATAAAAGTATACATATAAATACAGATACATGCATAACCATCCCTTAATAGTTCTTTTATTGCTCTTTCATTAGGTTGCTCTCATTGTCTAAGGTTCTTTTGTGTAGCATAGGAAACTGTCATTCACAGCATCTTCCTTTTTAAGGTTGGCTCCAGCAGTTCAGAAGTTCAGAATGACAAAAAGTCAAAATAAATGTAATTCCCGTCCAAATTAACTTTGTACATTAAGTATACTAACCTGGAAAGGTAATTTTAGCATCTGATCTCTGCTGTAGCAGCAGCTTATTCTCAGTGTTAAACAAGAAGACACTAAACGCTCGATGCAATAATCCTAAAAGCAAAATAAGATTAATTTAATCATCCAATTTTTCCCTTGCAAATCAGAATACTACTAGTAACTTGCTGCTATGTTAGTTTTTTTCCATAGTCTTCCATGTGGATAGTCTCTTCATAGCTATGATGAAAAAGAGTTGTAGTTTAACAGCATGGAAGTCAGCTACCAAATGAAAGAAATGGTGATCTTGATAGTTCTGCCATTAGCTAATGCTCTATCAAGAATATCTGGACCAAACTACTTGGTAGTCTTCTATTCCTGGAGAAGTTGTGAAGGTACACTACATGCTTCCCTTTTTGTATCTGTCTCTCATTCCATTCATTAGACTTAGAAACTTGACAACTGCTATTATGTCGGCTTAGTCCATTCCCTCTTTTAGAAAACAAGAGTAATTCTGGAAGAGCTTAGTGAAAGATACGAAGTGGAGAGAAACAACAAGATAAAAAAGTAAATTTTACTACTACACCATTTAATTGGAGCCAACTGGGGCTGGGGATGGAGCTCAGTGAGAAACCCTTGGGTTCAATCCCTAGTGGGTACACACACACAATTGCTAACCCCAAGTGCCTAGACAAAATCATTTGGAAACAAAATATTTAAAACGGTACCTTTCTCGATGTTTTCATTTAGGTGACAATTCTTCTTGGTGTCAGCTCCAATTTTATTGTCATTTTCATCAATAAGAATACACATCTCTGCCAGGAGTTGAACCTGTTGCTTATCGAGATGGTTGATATTTACTTCAGGCATCGTTACAAAATGTCTTAAGTGCCCTAGAACACTAACATTAAGAAAGAGGAAGAAAGGCCATTACATGCTGTTTTTCTGAATGTCATGTAAACATAGTAAAAGGGACACCCAGTCCAGTAACGAATTCAGCCACTTCAAAGGTTAAGAATCAGGCCCGCTATGGAGTACCAAGGAGGAGAGGGGGTGTCCCTTAATCCCCCCTTTGGTACCACTGGTCTCGTACTATCACCTTGGCCCTTGTCCCACCGGCCCACCGCATCAACTCGTCACACAGCCCATCTCGCTGCTGTTTGTCTTCGCCCCGTGCCCCTTTTCTTTCCCATTAAACCGCACAAAGTACCTTAAGCCGCAGACACTGCCAGTATAAGGCGCGGGCTCTATTTGGGCAAAACGCGCAACGCGTCCCTCCCTCTGGCCCCGCCTCCAGACAGCGCGTCCAATCGTCCGTGTCAGCGCTTGCCCGCACCATAGGCTCTGGCCAATCATTGCTGGCGCGTGCGTGACGTAACAACGTGCCAGACTGTGGCGCGGTGGTGCCACTTCCCGGGACCTCGGCCAGCGAAAACGAGTTAAGGCCCGCAAGGCGAAGGAGAGGCCCTGCGCCGCTAGTTGCCGCTTTATCTGCTCTCAGAAGGAGATTCTGGTGGCGAGTGCTGCAACCTTGCTTAAGAAAGACTCCGCAACTGGGGAAACGCCTGAGAGACGCGGCCAAGATCGTCCAGCGCCCGCCAACCAATCGTGCTCTCTGTCCCCGCCGGCGCGCCAGTCAGCTTGCGGCAGGCGGGGATGTGGCTGCGGCGCGGCTAGAGTACGTGGTGACGTCAGACGTCTCCGGCTCACTCTTCTGGGAGTCGAGGTTTAATGTCAGGCTCCGTGTTTGCTGTCTGTTTCGCGGAAGGGTTGGTGTAAAGCTTTGAGGACTCGTTTCCCGGAATCATAGCGTCGTGTAACGTTAAGGAAGGCAATAGCTGCCAGATTTCTGCCTAACTGGATTTAATGAAAACTTTTAAAAAGCAAGAAATAACTGTTGATTGGTTCCTTTGGAAGAAATCACTACCACCAGGAGTTGTATTATTTGGAAATTGAATTTGTCTTCAGTAAGAAAGTGCTGACTTCTACGGCGCTTTGCACCGGTAGAACAATTGTTTAGCAAAGCCTGTTGATGAAGAGGCAGGTCGAGGACCTTCTACACTTGGATAGGATTAACTTGGCGCATTATATTATGCCGTCAGTGGCAATCATTTTCTTATTGAGATCGAATAAAGCAAGGTCGTATTGTTAGAAATATTTTTACTTAAGCTTAATGATATTTGTAAATTTTATTAAAATAATCATGGAATGTACACGTAGTTGAGCAAGTTTTTTTTTTTTATTATGTCTGTGAAATTTAAAATTGTGAATTTGTCGGCTAATCATATGTGGTGTGGTGCACCAGTTCTCAAACTATGGTCTAGGGATACTTTTGCACTTAAAATTTACTGACCCCAATAAGCTTTTACTTACTGTTATTTGTACTTACTCCTATTTATATTAAAATTTAAAACATTAAAATAGTAACTTATTTAAAAATAACGATAAACACTGCATATCAACATAGATAACATTTTAAACAAAATGTGCAAAATAGCTGTTGCACATTTTTGCAAATCTCTTTAATGTTTGGCCTAACAGAAAACAACTGTGTGTGTTGTACTGGCTGAAATATATGAAGAAAGTCTGGCTTCACAAATTTGTAGTTGAAAATTTGAGATGTAGTAGCCTTTCAGGTAATTAAGGTTTTTGTTTTTATTTTTAATTTTTTCTGGTGCTGGGGATTGAACCCAGGACCTTAGCACTGAGTTACATTCCCAACCCTTTTTATTTTTATTTTTTTATGTAGAGACAGGGGTCATTTATATTGAGACAGGGCAGTTGACAAATTGCCCAAGCTGAGCTCAGATTTGCAATCCTCCTGCCTCCACCTTTCAGAGTGCTGGGAATATAGGCATAGGTCACCACCATCCCTGGCTTGGTTTTTCTTTTTTGACACTACACCAAAAGACATTTTTTAAAGCTTATTTGCTGTTTAGAATCTGAATTCTAGTAAGTATTTCATGTTATATTAAAATTAATTGATTTTGATTGTACCTTGAATGCATATTTTCTTATGTGTGATTTTGTAATATGCGTTGATTATTTGGAAACTGTCAATCTTATTGAATTAACTAGGTCTTTCAAATGTTAATACTGTACATTTCATTATCCAGTTTTGAAGAACCACATTTATTAATATCCCCAGCAATCTTATCAAAATGCTTTTTAAGTGTTGGAAAGCTATCAAGTGCTTGGCGGCAGATACAAGCTTTTAAAATTCAAGTTTCTGCATGAAAATTCTAATTTTGTTACTGGCAGCAAGTACTATAAATTGTTTTTCTTGAGATGCACCCTCAGTTCATGTTCCTTCAAGTGGCTGCCAAATAGCCAGGTTTGAACAGATTTAGTGTATTTGTTATTAGTTGCTTCTAGTAGAAATGATGTTTCATGAAAAAAAAAAAAACAGTTATCTAGTTGAGTGTACAACTCAAACTTCACACAGTGCTTTTCCTGGAGACAACCACAGTAATTCAGTTTGTAGAAGTGTGTTGTGAATACTTCCCGTTTTTTTACACACACTATTAAAAAAATAAGTACTCTTGTGATTTGGAATCTGAAATGGCTCCCAGAAGGTCATGTGTTAAAGGCTTGATGCTCAATTTTACAGTGTTCGGTTCCAACCCCTTTTCTCTGTGTGTGTCTCTCTCCTTCCTCTTTCTGGCCTCCATGAGATGAGCAGTTTTGCTCCACCACATGCTCCACTCCATGATGATCTGTCCCATAACATGCCCTGAAACCTAAGCCAAAATAGACCTTTTTTTTTTTAAATTGTTTCTCTCAGGTATTGGGTCACAGTAAAAGGAAAAGCAAACAGTACTTTAAAATTAATATTTTACGTTTTAAGTTACTGACATTTTATATTTTTGCTTCAAGTACATGATGGTGATGAATGCAATGATTGTTTTATGGTTTGGTAGCATTGCCTTGATTAGTGCCAAGGTACCAGCAGTTTTATCTCCATCCTCCCAATCCCTGCCCCAACCTCCCTTACTCCTTTCATTGTACCCAGTTCTCCACTTGTTTTTGCACCAGTGGTGCAAATAACAGCACTATGAAAAGATTAAATAACATTATTATTTAATATTATGAAAAATAGTTTTACCATCACAGACACCCTTAAAAGATTTTGGAAACAAAATATTCTAGAAAACATAATAATACACAGCACACGTTTCATATAGCCTTTATTTTATTTTATTTTATTTTTTGGTACCAGAGATCAAACTCGGGTCCTTGTGCTTGCGCAGCAGGCGGCAAAACCACTGAGCTAAATCCCCGGCCCTTCATTAGCCTTTAGAGAGACTTCACCCTATATCTTGTGGTCTTTGGAAAATTTCACTGTGTATACTCATGAGAAAATCAGTTGAAAAGGCAACTGGCATTTAATATTATGAACTTGGTTTCTACTTCATAGAGCCCTGGAAGGTTTTCAGGAACACTCAGAAAACCCTGGATCACTTTTTGAGAACGTCACGTATAGCAGAATGCCTACTGACCTTGGAAGACTGTAGTTCCTGTCTTGGTGTTACAGTTTAAATGTGTGTTCCCATCGAAATTCATGATAAACCCATTGTGATGATATCAAAAGGTGGGGCCATCTAAGACATGATTATGTCACGATGGCTTTGTCCTCATAGGTAGATTAGTACCCTTAAAAGTGAAAGTGGTAGAACTACCTTGGGCCTTTGTTGTTCTTCTGTCCCTCCAGGTAAGGACACTATTCATCCCACCTGGAGGACTCAGCAACAGGTGCCATGTTGAAGAAAAGGCTAGGTCCCTCACCAGATAAGAAGCCTTTGGTCCCTGATCTTGGGTTTCTTGGGCTTCATAACTCTGAGAAACAAATTTCCATTTATACATTACCTAGTGTGAGGGGCCAGGGATTTAGCTCAGTGGTTCCGCCGCCTGCCTTGAAAGCACAAGGTCCCATGTTCCATCCCTGGTACCAAAAAAAAAAAATAACCAGTGTGTGATATTTTGTTATAGCAGCACAAAGCCACCAGGCTTTTCTGCTCATTGCTACGTAATTTCTAGACTAGAACTATCATTTCCTTCATCTGTACTAGAAAAGAAGTTAGATGTCTTTATCTTCTAGCTTTACATTTATGTTTGCTTGTATTAGATACTATGCTGGGAAATTTTTTTTTTGACATATTTATCCATACAATAATTCTTTGAGGTAAATATTACCACATTTTACATAGGATGAAACTGAAGTTCAGAGGTTGCTTGTTATATTTATTTTTTGTTTCCTCTCCTATTTTTTCCTATTAACTGGGAAAAGAAAATAAGCTTTTACTTGTTTTCATGTTTGTTTTATTACTATAGTATGTAGATAACCACTTAAGTTCCACACACTGATGATGTTGAGGACATCATCTAGCCATATGTAGGGCCCCTCTGGTGTAGTTCAGACTGGCTTTGAACACACTATATAGCCCAGGCTGGCCTCAAACTTGGGTGATCCTCCTACCTCAGCCTCCCTAATGCTGGGATTCTAGGCATGAGCCACCACACCTGGCTCCCTGGTGATTCTTAGCTGGTCCTGGGAAAGCTTAGGCAGGCTTTCAAGAACCATTGCCCCAAATTATATAGCACTTGCTTTATGAGAACCAGGTCTCTTATTCTTTACCAGAAAGATTTCTGGTTCTAAAAATATGGCTTCTTTTTATTATATAAAATATGGAATATTTTAATCTGTGGGGTATTTTTTTGTTTTTTTGTGTGTTTTGGGCAGAAGAGAGTGCAAGAAAAAAGAAGTGTTGTTAAGGCATAAAGACATAAAATAGATAGTAGCCCAAGAATTGGAGCTTTAATAGAGTCTGACCTTTGCACCTTGAAATGTTGAGTTATCAGCATGACCCATTAATGCATTCCTTCTAAGATCTTATGTTCTAATTACTTAATATTCTTTGAAGATGTGAAATCCAAAATAAAGAGGATTATCTTCAGATAATATAACATGAGTATAATTAGGGTAAAAAAGAATTCCCTTGAAAATTTCATTTAAAACACTATTGGGGGGGTGCTGAACAACCTGATTGAGGGTACAGCAGAGGATGAAAGAATAATAAACAAAGAATAAAGAACAAATGGGTGCTGAGAATTTAACTCAGTGGTTTCGCTGCCTGTTGCACAAGCACAAGGACCCGAGTTCGATCCCCGGTACCCGCCCCCCCCCAAAAAGAACAAATGATTGTTTATTATGGGGGACCAGCACTCCATCTTAGCTCTTCATGACTAAGACCATGAACTCTGAACTTATCAATATTTATTGATTACACAACATAGCAGGGGTGTCTAAGGCACTAATGAGCCAGGGTTGTAAAAGTGAGGAGGAACTATGTATTCTTGCAAAGAACAGGTCCTAGTTAACAAGCCACCTGTGTTATCTGTAGCTAGCATTTGATCTGGGAGAGCAGCTGCACAAGAGTCATAAATCCTCAGCTATAGTGTCATCTTGCCATTAGAGATGTCACGGGATCACTGATCATTGAGATTTCAATTGTGACCATTGGCATAGGGAGTTCTGTTTTTGTATGTCAGCTGAAGGCTCATCTGGCAAGTCACATAGGCTTCAGATTGACTCACAATTTAATCAATAACCAACTTATAAGCCAATTGTATAATACTTTATTAGCCTTCCCAGTGCGATTTCAAGCTAGTCTCCTGTAAAACACAGTATTTAAATTTAGGAAAGGTTACAGGGAAGTGTGCAGAAATGTTTACAATGTGTGAGTTGCTATGATGTACTATGGAACTCTACACAAATTAAAGTTAGAAATTCTCACTCTGTGGTCTGAATGCATCTCCACAAATTCATGTGTTAAAAACTGAATCCCCTGTGGAGCAGTCTTGTGAGGTGGGGCCTAATGAGAGATGTTTGGGTCAGGAGAGCTGCACTCTCTTGAGAAGATTAGTGCCTCTGTAAGAGAGGCTTGTGGGGGTGGAGTCTGTCTCTTCTGATCTTCCGCCATGTGAGGACCATGAAGGTGTCATGTTGAAAGCAGAGAGATCTGGTTCTAACCTATTAGTGCCTTGATCTCAGACTCCCCAGACTCTAGAAATGTAAGAGATAAATTTCTACTGTTTATTAATTACCCAATCTGAGGTATGCTGTTTTAGCAGCCAGAATAGACTGAGACATTTTAATTCCACCACTCATTCTATCTTAAATAATTAGATTTTTCTACAAAGGAAAAATTTTCCTCATCAACTATTTGAGTTCTTACAGGCAAGGAAGGATATTTTATTTTCATGCTTTATGGACTCGATTTCAGAATATGTGCTTTGTAAACTTTGCAGTATATTGGTTTTTTATTGCTACATGACAGATTACCACAAAATCGATGTCTTGAATGATATTCACTTACTATCTCATAGGTCTGAAGGTCACGAGTTCAGGTGAGCTGGAATGGGCTCTCTATTTAGGTCCTCACAAGGGGCTAAAGTCAAGGTTCTGGCCTGGTTTTAGAACCCGTATCTGGAGGCTCAGTCATGGAAAGATCTGTGCCAAGGTCATCTGAGTTGCTGGCAGGTTTGGTTCCTTGAATTTATGGGCTTCTGGTCCTCTTTTCTTGCTGGTTGTTAGTTGGGCCTCTTAACTCTTCAGGGTCACCTGAATTCCTTTTCATTTAGCCTCCATCTCCAAACTTGCAGTGGTGTGTCGGGTCATAGTTAGGCTTCCAGGCTAACTTCTTTTGCCATCCTTTGGAGATTATTTCTGCTTTCAAGAGCTCATGGAATTAGACTAGGGCCCTTTGGGAAACCAACTTCTTATGTTCAGTCAACTCTATCATATAAAATAATCATGAAAGTATCTGATATATTTATAGACTCCAGGGATTCAGGCAGGACATCTTTGGGGCCATTTTTAGAATTATGTTCCTACAGAAGATGACCAAGGAGATTTTTGTTTTTCAGTATTGTTGCTGCTATTAATAGTCCTAAAGCTTAATCATACTGTTTTCTTCTGCTCGTGTGTGTGTGTGTGTGTGTGTGTGTGTAAACATTTATTTTAAATGATAGTAAAATAGTATATGGAAACCAGTGAGGTAATGCATTCAAATAAATGCTCAAACTGGTTGATAGGAGGCATGGGTGTTACATCACACTGCTGAGGACTTCTGCTGTAAGGAATAGATAGTAAATCCAGAGTGACAGAATTTTCTGTGATGGCAAAGGTTTCTGACATCCAGGCCAGTACTCAAAAGCCTCAGCAGTTCAAACCCATTTTCCTTAACATAGCCTTGACTGCCAGTGAAATTAGTCACAAGCACCCGAAGTTTTCTGGGATCCTTTTCTATGTTACACTGCTGTTAGCAAGATTTCCTTTGTGGTGACTTTTGTGTTGTCCACCTGAAGAAGGGAGAATCCATGAGCAGCAGTTCTTCAAACAGAGTGACTCTTTGGATGTCAAATCGAGATGAATACTTTTTTTTTTTGGTACCAGGGATTGAACTCGGGACCTTGCGCTTGCGAGGCAGGTGGTGGAATCACTGAGCTAAATCCCTGGCCCCGAGATCGATACTTTTAAGCAGGGCCAAAGTACTGACACCATACTTATGAATGGACTCACTGGAATCTGGCTAAGGTAGTGGCGAACACTGGTGTTCACCTCCCAACTCCCCATCCTCAGCAATACGCAGACAGTTGGGCAGTGACATTGTCATTGCTCTTTGGCTCCCATCCTTAGTTTGCATATTGCTAAAAGATGAGCCCAGTAAGGTCCTGCACTCTGGAGCTGGCCATCACCACCATGGTCATTGGCATCAGTCTGTCTGGCTTGAGTACAGCGGGAGGTTAACATTAATCTTCTTGATTGCAGTTGTAGTTGTACTTACATGACCCTCATCATCAATTTAAAATATTCATTTAAAGAGATTATTCAGCTGCTGAGGACACTGCTCCAGGTGTATAGATAACATGGACTACTTTCCAGAACCTAGAGGTTTCTCTTTGAGGGATTTTTTTCAAATATTGTCTTTAAATCCTGGGCTGAATGCTTAGAATTTTTTTCCACTGAGTATTTTTGCATTTTATCTCTTTTTTTGGAGTCATTGTAATTTTTGAGCTGTGTTTGAGTGTCTTCTAATACCAAAGTCCCAACTTGAGGTAATATTGACTGACTGGATGTATACATAGCCCTGAGTCTCAAAACTGCTTCCCTGAATTTCTGACCCACTGTCATTGACAGAGGATGAATCTTCTCTAGGTCAATATGATATTCAGTGAGAAACATCTTACCCATTCCCATCATCAGTGGTCACAAGTGACTGTCAAATATGAGCTAGGATGATAGTTGGACTGTCCAAGAAGCCCATCTTTTCTGTGGGCCAATTTCCTTAAAACTCTATTTTCTCTTCTTCAAAATTTTTTTTCCCAGTACCAGGGATTGGCCAAAGAACCTAGAAGAGTTTTGGAGCACACCCTTTTCATGCAGAGTGCCCCTATAGGAATACCAGGATAGCTGCAGTTCACTTGAGGTCTCATTTTTGGAAAGAGGCTGTCACAGGGATAGCCAGGACACCTATTAGTGTGTGGAGATCCCTGAGCAAGTGTGACTTAAAATCTGGACTGTATTTACACTCAAAAACCATTTTCATTGTATTCGTAGGAAGTTGCAACTGGCTTGCCAGCACTCATACCACCTCTCGTTATAGATGCATGGTATCAATAGCTATGGCTTTGGATTCTCACACATGACACTCTGTGCAACTGGAACAATTATGTCTCCTGGTTCCCGGCTTGCCGTCCCCAAATGTCACAGCTTTTCATTCAGTTGAGCAGCCACATGGACACCAACCATCCATGAGAAAAGATTCTCCTGAAGATACGATTTAACACTCCACAGTTATGAAATAGCTATATCAGAACAGGAAAAAAAAAGGAAAACAAAACCCCAACCCACCAACCAACAAACCAAACAAAAAAAACCCAAAACTGATGATTGGTATTTGAGATAAAAGTTTGTTCAGCATGAACCTAGTGTTTTATTTATTATGAAATCATAACAGAGTCATGAGTTCACTATATTCATTCAAAATAAATAGTTTATATGAAATACAGATTCTGGCATAGATAAGTGAAAATTAAAATCAGTTGACTGAACCTGCATGTTTCATCTGCTTACAAATCTGCACACAGTACTATTCTGCTAAAAAGGACAATTGCAGCAAAGAAAAAGACAACTGACTCTTTGCAAACAACCCTAAAAGCATCCTGCCAAAGAGGCCAAAATGAACATGCATATATCTATAAAGTGTTACTTGTCAATGCAAATGCTGCTTCTAGAAAAAAATTTAATTGCATAGGTTAAAACAAAAAACATTGTGCAATATTTTAAGCCATTAAAGCATCAAAATAAAAAACCCCAGCAAAATCACCGTTTTATGACGATTAACACACAAACATGAAATATCGATCAAAAATCAGGACGTAAATACCTGGACTGATACAATGTCCATTGTTGGGAGAATTTTTCTTCAGTTTAGATGTATTTTCTCATCTGTAACTAAATCTTTTTTTTGGTACCGGGGGTTGAACTTGGGTCCTCGCACTTGCGCAGGCGAAACCACTGAGCTAAATCCCCAGCCCTATAACTAAATCTTAAAGAGCTAACTTTATATAAAGTAGGCAAATTCAAGTAATTTGCTCTTAAGCCAATTTTTATAGAGCTAAACAAGGAACTAATGATAAATGAAACAGAACAGGCATGGAGAAAAACTGAGAAACTGTAGCTGGACTGAGCAACAGATGCTTTTATGCCATCTGGGGCTTCTCCTTTCAAGGGAATACATAAGCTAACAGATTCAGGCCTGCTGGTTTTAGTATACTAATTCCCTTGGATTTTGAGGTTTGCTAAAATTTGTACATCAACAAGCACACAAGAAGTCCTAAGGAAAGGATTCCACTTAAAAGGGTCAACATTGAACACTAATTAAAGCAGTCTTAAAAAGTTGTCTACCACTATAAACCCATACAAAATGTAACAGCTCTCACAAGCCAAAAACTGTAACCTCGTCCTAAGTTTAATCACTCCTTCCTTTTAGCTGTTTTTCAAGGAAGTACACATTAACTAAATGGCAATTGAAGTGTTTGCTGTATTCTTTTTCCTTTCTAAAAGAGCAATCACAGAAAATACAAACAAAATCTCCCTCAGCCACTTTGCCTTTGCATTTTTTGTACTAGTTTCTTGGGGAACCACCTGAGCCCCATGCAATCCAGAATCATCACTACCCTCTGGCATGTCACTTAGGTCACTCCCACTGTGACTGTCGATGCCTTCATCCTCATCAGTTTCCTGAGACTCTTACTGTCACACTAATAGGAGCAGAAGCCGGTGGTTTTGGACACTGCTTCACATTCTTCCACTGGTGGGGAGAAAAGTGATGGTGAAGCAGGTTCTTGAACCGCTGCATCTTTACCTGGAAGATTCTCTGTTGTGCCCTCATCAGTGATTGTTTCCTTTTCACAAAGCTCATCTGAGTTAGCCTGATGTTTATCATCTGAAGTTTCACTCTCTGGGATGCTTAACTTGGAGACAGAAGCCAAAACACTGAAGCTGATTCTTGGAATCAGCTTGATCAGCTACAGTACACTTTTATCTGTCTCATCTGCTCCCTCTTTCTGCAGGGGTCCTGCTTCAGAGAGTGAGTTTTGATCTTTTGACTTCTTTCTCCTTTGGCAGTGGTGACGATGGTGCTAAGAGGTCCTCTGCATCTGTACTCTCCTTTAGAAGCTGACTGTTTTTGCCAAGCACTAAGCCAACTTCAATGAGAACTCACTCCTTGCATGCCATTTTGCTTTGCATGTTGGACTTTTCCTTTTCACTATCTTTTGGGGGACTGGCTCGATGTGAAAAGAAGGCTGTACTGGAGGGGGCAGCTCCATGTATGCAGATCCCTTCTGAGCAGGCTCTGTGAGAGAAGGCAGCTCATGAACAACCTCCATGGGGGCTGGCTCCACAGCATGAGCCTCCTCAACAGCCTGAAGGGGAGCAGGCTCCAGAGGAGGAGGCCCTATCCACGCAGGCCCCTTTGGAGCAGCCTCCTTCTGAGGTGGCTTTCTGAGCAAGCTTTCTGCTTTTCTTTAGTTTTCAGAACTTTCTTTTTTGTACTTTCTTTTCACACAGGCTCTTTGCTTTTTATTCTCCTCCTTATTCTTGTCCACTTTGCTGTCACCCTTTGGCACCTCCTGATCATTTTTGGATTTGCTTTCTTCTACCTTCTTTTTCATTACAGGCTCCTTATCATTCACAGGCTCATGCAAGGATTGGGCTTTAGCATCCAGCTTCCTTTTGCTTTTCTTGGTTTTACAGGGCTTTTCTGAATTTCTTCCTATATGCACATTGATCTATTATCTTTGTAGCTGATTTGTGAGTTCTTGTAGTCATTTGGATCCCCGAGACACATTGCCACAAGGCCTTTTCTCTTTTGAAACATCTTTTTTCTCCACTTCTACAGACTTATTTTTCTTTCCAGCCACATCCCCCTTTGTTTTTGTCTGTTCTGTTTTTTTCATCAGTAATACTGTTATCAGGCAAGTCAACCTCTCACTTTTTGGTTTTCTTTAGTTTCACTTTTGAGACATCTATTGTTTTATTAAGACAAGTAGGATGACTGCATTTAAAATGATACTGGAGATTACAGTTCTTAGAAGGTGCATAGGCACTTGCAGGGCAATGGAAGCCATGGGTTAAAATGCAGCCCTAGGAGTTTTTTGAAATTGCTTCTATCTCCTGTTTTATAGTCAGAGAGAGGGCAATTAAGAGGTTTAGGACCACTATGAACCTGTCTTGCACGGAGAGTTACTTCGTGCTGATTAGAGGCCACTTAGCTGCACTGATCACACTTAAATGGCTTCTCACACATCCAGATCACACTCTGGTACATATTACCAAATGGTACCCATACCCCACTGAATAAGCATGCATATGTCTAGTTAGATCAGTCTTCTGAGAATTTGAGTAAGGATAAAGTTCACATTTATATGAGAGTTCTCCTGTATGAATCCAAACATGCTGGACATAATTATTTTTTCTGTCTTAAAAACTAGTTGCCCTTGCCACGTGTACACTTTCCTTGGAAAGTGGTTTTTCAGTTGTTTCCTCCAGTGATACTCTCTGACTGGTGTGTATGTGCAAATGATGCATTTGTACACTCCTCCTTACCCTGGCTTTGGTGTGGTGCTTCAGGTGAGTAGTGTAATATACCAATTGGTGTCATAGCCACAGTGGTCACAGCGGATGGGGCCCTTTGAGAAATCTCTCACCAGCAGAAGAGCCAGACTCCCTGGTTTTGGCTTGCTTCTCTGCACTTTCTTCCACAAAAAACTTCTTGGCACTGTGAACTCTGATATGAACAACAAACTGTTGTTCAAATTCTAATCATACTGGCATGGCTTACAGGGAAAGGGTTTGGTCTCCAAGTTCTTGCATTTGTCCTCTGCTGCAGGTGTTTCATGAGGAAGATCTTTATTTGAGCTGTAAATCCCAGAGGGAGCTTATGCCTCAAATACAGGCTTCTGGCACCAGGGATTTAGCTCAGTGGCACTGCGCCTGCCTCGAAAGCGCAAGGTCCTGAGTTTGCTCCCCTCACCACAAACAAACAAAAACCAGGCAGCGGTTCTAAACCACTGAGCTCCAAATTCCTCAGTTTCATGTTCTCCAGTCCATTAGGTTCACCTTTTATTTCAGAACACTCCTCCAGTCCTTCTCCATCACTATCCGAGAAGTTGTTATCCCCAACAGGCATCCTTTCTGCCATTTGCCTTTCTTTACCAATCAGATAATCTAAGTAGCAGACTGTTGTGCCCAGATCGCGAAGTCCCCAAAGACCACCAAGGAGCCGATTCCGATGTAAACACACTAGGGTCGTTTACTCAAGCTCGAGCAGGGCCACTCAACCGTCACCGACACAGCGGATCAGGATTGAGAGCCCCGAATTTCAAATCAGCAGGGTTTTTATTGTGGCTACAGCAAGGTTTGGGTATTTTCCATTTAGCAGTTACATGATTGGTTGATATTTAGCAAGCATGGGGTGTACATGGGGGGGGGGTTGAGGGGTGGCTACATGTAGATTTTATGGGAAAAAGGAACAATCATCACATTGACAGATTGTTCTATTGATAATGGGCCCGGGAGCGTCTGTTTTCTGGGCAGAGGATTGAGTTAGGAGCTGTGTCTTTTTTTTTTAATCTGTAGTCCCACAGCAAGGACATTTTATCATTATTTTATGGGCACAAAGGAGACTAGGGGAATAGTTGACTTCAGTGAAGTGGAATTTATGTCAAGGCCACTTTACTGTCTTATTCCAAGATGGAGTCAAACTTTAAATGGAGTTAGTTAGGTCTCACACTGACATTTACTTCCCCAGTTAGGGCCACATTCGCCTTGATCAGCCAAGGCGCCGCCACTTCAGCTCCGAAGAGGTCCTGCAAGTCATACTTGTCGTTAGGCAAGGCTATGCCGCTGCTGCAGCTACCGGCGAACAGCCCTGCTCCTCCAGACGCCTAACCCATCACGTGGGTGCCACTGTACCCAGCCTTCCTTGGCGCGGAGGGCAGCGCCGCTCCTTCTCCGACTATGTACTTTTCTTTGTTGCTGGAGTTTCCAGGGAGGGTTGGGGTAGGGGCAAAAGTTGGGCGCTGGGGCCTTGACGCCGGCTGCAGTCGGTGACGGTGGTGGTGGGTAGACCTGGGCCGGGGCCCTGGGCGGGGCTCGGTCTGCGGCTGCGCCAAGATTTCTAGCGCTGGACGCTGCGCAGCGCACCCCCACCCGTGTATTTTAAAAAGTGAAGTGCTGGGAAACGGATCAGTTCCTCTTTGGTGCTAAATTCCGGATGTGATCTTGGCAGCTGCTGTGAATACGTCACTCGCCTTGTGAAAGAAGCTGGTGGTCTTCAATGGGAGATTGAAATTAACAAGCAGAGAGGAGCAAAACATGAAGAGGGAGAGCCTTGCTTTTAACTTGTCTTTGTGGTCATTTGCACTTCTGCCTTCCTCATGGTTTGGTTTTAAGAATGAATCCTGTTTTGGACGGTTGAGTTTGAGTTGCATTTCTGTCACTTGCATTCACAAAAGCCTTGACACATACCCAATGGTGATTTGAGGTTCATTCGAGTATTTAGCCTGTGTTAGGTACTGTTACAAACTCGTAGCATATATTCAATTTTTTTTTTTTTTTTTTTGGTACCGGGGATCGAACTCAGGTCCTTGCGCTTGTGAGGCAGGCGGTGGAACCATTGAGCTAAATCCCCGGCCCCTTGTAGCATATATTAATTGATTTAATACAACCAACTATGAGAGATATATTGCATGTTTATCCCTCGTTTACTAATGAGCACAGAGAAGTTAAACAGCCCAGTCAAGGTCACACAGCCAGGAAGCAGAAAAACTTAGGATTTGAATCTTGGAGATCTGACTCGAGTCTGTGGATCCTGCCCCATGCTCAACCACCTAAGCAGCAGTCTGATTAAACAAGTAGGCCTTAGGAGAGTGCTCTGAACTTGAAGTAGAGATCTGCATCTATTAAGTTGTAGTTGAAATTACAAAAGTAGATACACGAGACAGTGGAGTAGGTCTAGAAAAGGACTTGGATAACTGAGGAGCCAAGGATAAGAGGGAGAAGAGCCCACCAGGAAGTCAGAGTCTCTCTGTAGAGAAATCCTACTTCTGCCTACTGCAGCCTTTACATGCTTCCATTCTCAGGAATGCAAAAAAACCTCAATACAGTATATATTTGGTCAAGATCAAGTGGTTGGACTTTAAAGGCCTGGTTCCTGGTTTTGTGCTTATGGATTGTTGGTTGTATTAACAAAAAGAGAAGCGATTTTGGAGTTTCAGCTCAGACTCTTAAAGTCTCAGACTTTGAACTATTTACTAAATATATTGAGGCTTCTCTTTTCAAAATAGGCATAATAATATCTCAACTGGGCACTGCTATCTTTAATAATGTAAATGCTTATGTGTTTGTTATTTTTAAAATTTTAAGAATTTTTATTAGTACATGTTTACAGGGCATAATGCTTACATTTATCATGAGGAGTTGGTACATGTACATAACACATCTTAATTCTATTTACTTAAGTTATATGGCTTTGATAAAGAGAAAAAGTATTAACTATGTGGATTAGAGGCCAGTATAGTTATTCATAGTAACTTCTTTTTCACTTAGGTGTACTTTCTGCCATCACAGAGATAGTTTACAAGTATGTTTTGGTTGTTAAGTAAGGTTCTCCATTTGGTAAAAATCTAGGTGTACGTAAGAACAATGTAAATTTATTAAAGAGCATGAAAACTTTCCTAGTCTTGAATGAAACTTACATTTGAAGATCAAACATGCTTGCTATAAAACTGCTTCCACCTTTTGTCACATGGACAGTGCATAAAGTAATAAGCTGTACTAAAAAACTAAAGACCACTTAATAACAGAAAATATAAAAATGTATTTCAAGGTGACATTTTGACAGCATTTACCTTTTAGTACTTTTCCAGTGTCAAGATGAGGTTCAGGAGACTTAGGTCAGCAAGTTACTGCTGACTGATGTCTTCCAATGAAAAGACAGATCTATACAGAGAGAATGCCATGTGAACACTGAAGTTATATTGTCAGCAGCCAAGAACACCAAGATTGCTGACAAACTCCAGAAACTTGTGGCATAGAATCCATGTGCCCTCAGAACTCCCAGGAGGAAACAAGCCTGTTCAACACCTTGCTCTTGGAATTCTAACCTCCAGAACTGTAATATAGTACATTTCTGATTAAGCCTTCTAGTTTGTGATATTTTGTTACTGCAGCCTTATCAAACTAATACACTGTAAAAAGAATATGGGCTTTGACATCTAGATGTTAATTTGTGTTCTGCTGCACACTATCTTTTTGACTTCTGACAAGTCATTTCAACATTCTTATACTTAGCTAAAATTCAGTTTAGAATAATAACTTTTATTCTGGGAATTAAACAAGCTTCAAAATGTATAAATTGATAGCCCTCAAAACTTGATACTTTCTCTTTGATAACTTATAATGCATTTGATTATTTTAAGTGACTTTTGTGGAATCCTAAATATATCAAAGAAAAAATTACTACCATCCACAGTATCTTAAGGTCATCGAAACTCTGGGTGCTATATTGCAAAATAAAATCATATAGTAGAATGTTAGTTGAGTATGATATTGTGGTTTACAAAGCTATCTCCTAACACCACCAGTAGAATGTCTTGTGCAATATTTTTGCTAAATTGTTACTAGAATGTCATAACCTCCAAATCTGAAGAAAATTATTTAAGGTAAGGAGTCAAGCATCATTTCCTTACTTCATCTTACAGAATTATTTCAAATCATAAGCTTTCTAAAAATAATAAAGTAGAATTAACTTCACGTTTATTGTACATTTTAAGTTATTTGAATCACCAACTGTTCCATTTTTTCTCGTGCAACAAACATATTAGTGCTTTTAAAATCTGAGTCTTTATTTTTTTTAAGGAAAGAGCAAGAATGTTGACCCATATAGAAGAAAAATGGTTTCATGTTCTTGATTTACTCTAGGTGAGTTTTCAAGATGCAGTTGTTTGTAAAGCGGAAACACAGTTGTTTATATAATGGTCCCAGTTTATTATATACTTTTGACAACCTAGATTTCAGAAAAAAAGCAGCTGATGTCCCACCTTTTGCAGTGAACAGCTGATTCTGTTTTCTCTTTCTAGCCAATGGTGATCAAATATTTCAGAACAAAACTGGGTGAGTCATCTTCTGCAGATAAGCCGAAATATTAATAGTTCTATCTCCAGCAGCCTTCCTGGCAGCCAAATAGCAAGACTCCCACAGAGCCCTACCCAGTGAAGCTGTTCACAGCCTTTAAAGCGGTTTGGATTTGAATGATTTTGAAATTGACTAATAGTTATAAACAGTATACTTGACCGACCTTGCATTTGAAGGAATTATTTTTTCTTTTCTTTCCCACTTCTTAGGTTTGAGAGAGTTTTTAGGAATGGATTTAAAACCTGCCTGACCGTGGAACCCCCCTCCCCCCCCGGAGCCACTGCTGCGGTGAGTAGATCCGATCCAACAAGAATCAGCGTTTTACAGACGACCCGCGGCCCTAGGGAGGCGGTCCTCTGCTCCATCGTGTGGACTGCATTTGGAGGGGTGCAGGTCTGGGGTCTGGCTGGGCCTGGGTCCCAGCATCTTCACGAAGCTCCGCATAAAGGCGCCAAATACTCCTGTGCCACCAGGGGGCGCTGTGCTCGCTCCCCTTCCGAGGTCACTTGCTCCGTTCTCGCTCTGCGCTGGTTTAGGAGGAGCTGGGGCGGTGAGGCAGCCTGGGTGGAAAGGAATCAGGGCCAAAGCCCAGAAAAGATCCCTAGGCGCGGCAGAGTAGAGCCCTACTCTGGAAGCCATGATGGAACTTCCGGCGGTGCCGGGTAGGGCGGGACTTCTGCTGACGCTGGGCGTGGGGCGAGCTCAGGGCGGGATTTCCGGAAGTACAGGAAGTGGGGGTACGCCAGCTTGGGGTCGCGGGGTCGCGTCAGTGCGGAGTCCGCCGGTGTTCTGCGCGTCTGCTGCTACGTTCTGGGTGCCGTGTCGTGGGGACCTACTGGCTCAGTGCGACCCGGGCTGGCTTCGGTCATTGCGGCAGCTGTGACAGGTGAGTGCCGCCATCTTTCCAGATGTTGGGTTTCTCGTCCTTCCTGGGATGCTTGGGGGGTGGGGTCGGCAGGGAGGAGGTTGAAGGACAGGAGGGGACCGGATGGACTAGGGGTGAGGGTGGCAGAGGGGTAGGGTAGACGAAGGGACCAGCTGCACCAAGGGTCCGGCTCTGGGGTCGCGGGCTCTCTTTTCCCCCTTCCTGTGTCCCAGGAGCGGCACTTGCCGGGGGTGCTTCAGTGGAAGAAGACTGGCTTTTATTTACCTGAAGAAGGGATGTAGGCCTTGCAGTTTTGAAAGTGGGAGGTGAGAGGGGCGGTGAGTGCGGAGTGGGCTGATGCTGAAGTGGTTAACCTCCGGCATGCTTTTGTTCCTCTTCTGAAGACCCCCCCCCCCGAAGATAAACATTAAATTTAAGATAGCCGTTTTTTGAAATAATACAGCATCAACATAACATAGCGCTTACCAAAAAAAATTGCACAAATAAACCTTTCCCACTTACGAGCAGAAACATCTTACGATTGGCCAGGGGTTTAGAGGTTTTAAGATCTAACGTAAACCCTACAACATTTCTTGTACAGGGCTAGGTCTTTTGACGCTGATACCATACCATCTATGAGTGTTAATTGCTTGGAAATTTCACTTATTCAAATGGTTTTCCTTTAGATTCAGTGTGTTGGCTTATGAACTATGGCCTTCAGAGCATTCCTGTAAATAAGAAATCTCTTAAGATCCTCTCCACCCCACCCACTTTAATGTTTTAGTTAACCTTCCTGATCAAATTCCATTGTTCCCAAATTCCTTTTGAAATGTGGTCCCCATACTTGAGCACAGTATATAAAGTATATAAATATGATCTGACCAAAGTGGAATAAATTCGGACATAAATACTGACCACAGGCAATGGTAGGATAGTGGGACACTGGCCACATACATGTTTTTATTTAACAACAGTGTGATCTTGGGCAAAGAACTTCTTTAGTGTGTGTTTCCTATTCCTTTAAAATAGTGTGTATATTAGTCTCATTTTTGTTACTGGAAAGGTTATAATATGCCAAACATTTTTTTTTTTTTTTTTGGTACCGGGGATCAAACTTGGGTCCTTGCGATTGCGAGGCAGGCGGCAGAACCACTGAGCTAAACCCCCAGCCCTATGCCAAACGCTCTTGCAAAGTACTGGAGAGGAGATCATTAGTATTTAGGTTTTTCCCCTCTTCTCTTGTCCTCTTCTAGTACTTTTCTTTGGCAAACTTTGTTAGACTGTTGATTTATTTTGCATTTGCTTTGAGGCAGAATTAGAATTCCAAGGTCTTTTCCCCAGAGGTAATATTAAGAGTTTTCTTACTTAAGTATTCTATTTTGATTTTCCAAGGAAAAGACTTTTATATTAAATTTTAGATTTGTGTTCCTTCTTTTAGTTATTGAAAACTAAAAAATTTTGGTGGTGTTTATCCAATTAGTTATATCTCAGCTCAGTGTTATTTTTAGAATTGATAAGCATATACATGTCATTAATGACCAAACATTTTTCTTTTTTTTTTTTTGTACCAGGGATTGAACTCAGGTTCTTGAGCTTGCAAGGCAGGCGGTGGAACCACTGAGCTAAATTCCTGGCCCAGTGACCAAACAATTTTTGTTTTTTGTTTTTTTGTTTTTTTTTTTTGGTACTGGGGATTGAACTTGGGTCCTTGTGCTTGCGCAGCAGGTGGTGAAACCACTGAGCTAAATCCCCGGCGACCAAACATTTTTTAACAAGTTAATGCTGAAAATAGATTTCTGAGATTGCCTACTGTACAAACAGCTCTTTTCTCTGATACTGGGCAGAAGTTGCATTTGCTGTTTCAGCCCTCAAGGGATTCACCTAAAAGTGCTATCATGATAAATCTTACTAAAAACTTACAGGCTTATAGCTACCCTCTGTAGTAAATTTTCAACTTCAGATGTATCTGCCAGTCTGTTTTATTTTCCTAGAGTAACTCCCTATTCTATTTTCACTTCCTTTTTTTTGTCTAACTTAGATTCCATATTACATCATTTCAATATTCCTTTTAAAATTGCTTGCAGCCTCCTTGCCTGCTTTTCCATGAAACTACTCTAAAAAAACCCTAAAGTCATTAAATCAAACGTTTGTGATTGATGCTAGTACTGACACATGGCCTAAGATGAGGACCAGTAGTGCATGTAGCTTTAAGATGCTTAGTCCTTTGGTCAGAGCCATCCTCTGCATGGAGGATCTGATGTGAAAGGAAGGAGGTGGTTGTGGTACCTGTATAGGCTACTGGGAGAAAGAGGTAAGATACAGATGCAGAGATGAAAGTAAAGTTAGAAAAAACTGTAGGAAAATTGTGACAAATAGAAAGTAACAATAGGAAAGGGAAAAAAAAACTTGAAAAAGAGTCCAGAAAAACAAGTGGAAACTACAGAACTAATTTTGGAAGAATATCAATAGGTAAACAAAAGCTGAAGAACTTACAGGAAGAAGCAGAACTTCAATTTGCTAAATAATCTTTTAGTGTTAATGACATAGTCTGGCATAGATATTGTGAACTCATCTTTGAGATATGACTTCACAGAGTTTAGAAAATTACTAAAAGATAAAAGTAGTCTGGTATGAAAATTTCTATTTTGCTAGGTTTTTTATATGTGTGTGTGTATATATATATATATATATATATATATATATATATATATATATGTATAGTTGGAAATTGATCAGTGGAAAAAGATTGCTGATTTATGACATGACAACAAAAGGAAAGCCAGGGTCGGGAATTTAGCACAGTGGCTCTGCCACCTGCCATGCAAGTGCACGGATCCAAGTTCAATCCCTGGTACCAAAAAACCCCCCAAAAACAAAAGGAAAGCCAAAGAGCCAGGTACAGTTGCTTCACCTACCGAGAGAGGCAATAGGATTTCCAAGTTAAGGTCAGTCTGGGCAATTTAGTGAGATCCTGTCTCAAAGTAAAAACTAAAAAGGGCTGGCATGTAGTTCAGTGGTAGAGCACTTGCTTCTCTGCAGGTGTAGTATCAGAGAAGGTTAGGTAAAAAGCTGGGACTTTCATATCTGCTGGGTGGTAACAAGCACACCCATTTCTATTCCTGCTGAGATGACTTCAGAGGAGACCTAGCAGTGAGGCTATTCCCTTATGTCAAGGACGTGTCTAGGGAGCAGTAGTGAGACTGTTCTGATTCAGTCATGGTGGTACAAGTAAGGGCATAGGGAGAAGCTAGACTCAGTAATTCTCAATCTAGTAGTAACCCGACCCTGTAGTAATGAGTACATCCTCATTTGAGGTCCCCAGCAGCGGAATGGAGAACCTTAACTTCCACCTCTACCATTTATACGCACCTGGCAGATACAAGGTAACAATTGTCCTTGTCTGCTGACACAGTGTCAGCACAGTCCTGCTCTGACAGAGGCCTTTAGATCCTAAGTCTGATATGGTAACACCCAAAGTGTCAAGGTTTCAGTTGAAAATCATTTGTCATGTTAAGAACCTGGAAAATCTCAATGAGAATAAAGAAATACAATTGATATCAACACAGATGATACAGATGTTAGAGTTATTTGGCAAGGACTTCAAAGCAGCCATCATTAAAATGCTTACATAAGCAATAGTCCTTGAAACAAAAAGCAGTCTCAAGAAAAGAATACAGGCTATAAAGAAGAAATATGGAAATTTTAGAAGTAAAAAAATACAGTAAATGAAATAAACAGTGGATGGCTGAACAGTGAATGGATAAGACAGAGAAGAATCAGTGGACTTGAGCATAGAACAATACAATTGCTCATTTGGAACAACAGAGAGAAAGTAGACTAGAAAAAAAATATACAGGGCCTCAGAGACTTCTGGGACTTTAACGGTCTGAATTTATGTCATTAGAGTTCCAGAAAGAGAGGCAAGAGATAGACTGAAAAAGTATTTGAAGAACTAATGGCTGAATATTTCTTAAATTTGGCAAGCCCTGAACCTACAAATTGAAGAGGCTGAATGAATCCCAGAGAGGATGAACACAAAGATGTTTAGATACATTGTAGGCAAACTTCTGAAAACTGAAAACAAAAAAGCTGTTTATCTGTAGTGGAAAAGCAATTTGAATGACAGTGTATTTTTCGTCAGAAATCTTGAAGTCAGAAGGAAATGACATAACATTTTCAGGTGCTGAAGGAAAGGAAAAATTGACTCAAAATTCTAGGTCAAGTGAAAATGTCCTTCACATCATTTGTGTTCAGTAGACCAACTCTAATGTAGGTAATGTAGGTAAGGAAGTTCTCTATACAAAAAAGAAATGATAAAAGGAATGTGGGGACCATCATAAGGAAAAACAAACAATGAAAAGAGCAAAAATATATGTAAATTCAGTACTTGTTTCTTTTAATGTTATGTTTGAAATTTGAAGTA